GAAGTTACGAGATTTGATATAGGATGCCATATAATACCATGTTTCTCCAACAATACGGCCTCCACCAATAGGAAGACCCAGCAGGTTTTCTAGGTATAAAATCAAATTAAGCCCCTCCCCCAAATTTAGGCCTATATTAAAACATGCAAAAAGAGGGGAAGGGTGGGGGGACTTGCCATTAGGAGCGCCCTGTGGGCAGCAATTCCTCGCCACCAGCTGCTCCTAACGAGTGATCATAGCGAAGCGCAGAGAGCTCCCTACTCCCACCAAACGCCTTTGCTGCAGACCCAAGACCTTTGGCACCCGCCGCTGTTGCTTTCCCTTCTGCCCATTCTGCCGTCATGTTTGGAGCTGCCACCGTGTTTGGAGTGCCACCACCATTGGAGCACCGCCACCACATTTGGAGCAGCCGCTTCTGTGTTTGGAGTGGCGGCGCCATTTGGAGCACCACTGCCACATTTGGAGCTGCTGCTTCCGTGTTTGGAGCTGCCATTGTGTTTGGAGTGCCGCCGCCATTTGGAGCTGCCGCCGTGTTTGGAGTGGCAGCGGTGCTCCAAACGTGGAAGTGGCAGCTCCAAATGTGGCGGTGGTGCTCCAAATGGTGGCGGCACTCCAAACACAGCAGCAGCTCCAAACACAGAAGCGGCAGCTCCAAACGTGGCAGCGTTGCTCCAAATGGCGGCAGCACTCCAAACACGGCGGCAGCTCCAAACATGGAAGCAGCAGCTCCAAATGTGGTGGCGGTGCTCCAAATGGTGGCGGCACTCCAAACACGGCGGCAGCTCCAAACACAGAAGCGGCAGCTCCAAATGTGGCAGCGGAATGGGCAGAAGGGAAAGCAACAGCGGCAGGTGCCAAAGGTCTTGGGTCTGCAGCAAAGGTGTTTGGTGGGAGTAGGGAGCTATCTGCGCTTCGGCATGATCACCCATTAGGAGCAGCTGGTGGCGAGGCTCCCCACGGGGCGCTCTAGATGAGGATGAAAGGGGGGAATTAAGTCACCCCTGAAAAGACGGCCTAGCCGTTTTTTCGGGGCTCAAAAAAAAAATAAGGCCCAGCCTTATTTTATGAGAAACACGGTAAGTGCCCAATAAAGAAGTCTTAGAGCTAAAAGAGCGAGAAAGACCAGGGAATGGTTTGGTCTGAGTGAGAGTTAGTCACTAATTAAAGCAGGAAACTCTTGCTTCTGGAGCACAATTTTGTGATTTTGTTCTGTTCTAAAGATGAATAGGCTTGGATTCTATTTATATTTGAGAGACTGTTGTAGCTGTATACATTTGCTTTCCTGAACATGGTAGATGCAGAGTTTATTCAGATGTGGGGACAGCGAGAAGGTTGAAGTTCCAAATAAAGAATGCACTTTTGCAGTACGAGCTGGCAAAATGAAGGGTAGCTGGGTTTGAACTATTCCTTTCCCCCAGCTTTGGGCAGTTTGGGCAGACTTTTGTGGTGCTCTGTCAGTGTATCTTCTATATAGGAAACTAATCAGAATCAACATATTTTTCTCAATGTTGAAATTTTTGAATAATTTTGTTCAATCTAGCTGGAATTGAAGTGGAATTCCCCTTCAGTATTCCACCTTAAATAATAATAATTTTAAAACCCACACAATTTTTAAGACAGTCAGTGACACTGACAATCATTCTAGTAAAGAAGCTTAAATGCTTCTATTTACTTCTAGAAATATACATTGCCAGAGTGAAAAATGCCACTTCTTTGCTAGGCTAAAAATCTAGAATTAAAATGGTATTGGGGAAAAACTAATTATTGCCTTAAATTATCTAAATCATAGGGTATAGATTTAATAGGGGTATATGAAACACCACCACTTTTTTTTAGTATAAGTTAGAACTTGAAGGACTCTGCAAAATCCTTTTTGGTCATACAGGCTGGGAGAGAGACTCCTTAAGCTGGAGAATCAGAACATCAGAGAAAATAGAATTATGTTTTGATGAAGTAGCCAGATCTCAAGTTCAAATCAATGTGTGCTACATTTCTTTTTCTGCAAAAACTCACTTCTGCTAAGGCTTAAAAAGTATATAAGTAATTCCTGTGTAGGTAAAAATTCTGAGGAACGTGACTTTAGACATTTGCTGTTACAAAAGCAATACAGTAATTGTTTTACTTCTGTATACTGCTGCTTTTAGTTGATTATAGACATAATTTTGATTGTACTGTATTGACTTAGGTCAGCAGTTTTGGTTTATTTAAAAATTAGTCATGATATAAATAAATAGATAAAAGTACATTGTATCTCAATTCAAGGACACTTGGAGAAAACCATTATGGAACATCTCAGGTTTCTTCTTAGAAACCTGAAAGATACATTAAATTACAGGATCTGTGGCTGGCCCTAACCTTTCTATCTGAACATGACCATCTCCCTAAAAGTGATATTTCAATCCTGTTAACTCCATTTGAGATAAATGCCCTCATATTTCAACAGAAGATGAGCTGCTTCTTTTAAAGTACAAGTGCCTGCTCATAGCTGAAAGTACAAAACATATTTGTGGTGATAACTGTTCTTGAATATGTTTATTGTACAAGAATATGGCTGGATTTACTCACTTTAAAAGAAATAAGGCTATATGTATGTCCAATAGTTAAATGCCCATGTAGGAGGATGATAAATCTTTTTTTTTTTTTTTGGTATTGTAAGTTTTGAAATGGATGTCAAGTTGACATAGTTTTACAAAAAGGGGATAAGGCTTTTTCCTTGTAGCTTATACATATTGTCCCTTCATGAGAACCATGTATAAACAAACTTAGAAGGAATACCCGTGCAAAAGCTTCAACAAATAAGAAAGAAATTTTGAAGATTAATATTCAGTTGAAACCAGAACTGTTGTTGGTACTAATGGAAAGTCAATAGGGAAAGAGTTGTGAAAGATTGTTCTTGCGTATGATGACTTCTGTGAGATTATTATATGCACAAAAATGGAAATGTTCTGAAATACCCACAATGGAGGAATGGCTGGTAACGATAACAGAATTAGCAAAGATGGCAAAATTGACTTGATTAGAGAAAGGCAATAATTAACATTTATTACAATGTTATTTATTCATTTATTAGCTATTGGACTTTTTGCTGAAGGAAGAAAAAAATGAACTTGTGATTTATGGGTTTAATAATTAGAAAGGGTAAACAATGGAAAGAAGGAGACTATTTTGTAACTTTATGGAGAGAAGATAAAACATAAATGTACTTACAACTGCGGCTAAGAAGACCGGAACTTCCCCCTCTTTCCTTTCCTTTCCTTTCCTTTCCTTTCCTTTCCTTTCCTTTCCTT